TGGGACGTAGGGGAGCTGTGCTTCATAGTGGGGAAACAAGCAGGGAGCAGTGACATGAGTCACCTGAGGGTCCTGGGCCTTGGTGCAGTCCCAGGTAGTGGCTCCTGGGTGCCCTCGTGATGCGGAGAACAGGGGTTAGCAATGTTCCTGCCTAAAGGGGGGGGGGGTGTCTTTCCACAGCCACAGCAGGCAGCACGTGCCTTCCTCCACCCTTCCCAACCACACTTGTGGGATGCTGGCAGGTGGTGTAGCCCCTTCCCCCCTCCCTGCTGTGGATTCCTCCACTGACATGGCCCTGGCTCAGCGCTCCCCTGAGCCACCTGTGTCTTGGTTCCACTGAGGCTCTCTTCTCCCGCAGGACGGCTCCTGCAACGGTCTGCAGCACTATGCCGCCCTCGGCCGGGACCTCATTGGTGCCACCTCTGTCAACCTCATGCCCTGTGACGAGCCGCAGGACGTTTACACCACTGTGGCCAAGCAGGTGAGCCAGCCACTGGGTTGCCACCCCACTGAGACCTCCCTTCCCCTGGAGTGGGCATCCCCTGTCCCCAGGGGTCAGGCAGTGCTGTCCCAGCCCTTGAGGAAGGAGACGTCTTGTGCGGAGCCAGAGCCAGTTGCTGCGTCGTCTTGGAGCTGGGCCTGAGAGCTGGTGTCCCCCGGCCCTGACCCAGTCCCTGGTTTCCTTCCCCGTGGGATCTCCCCCATAGCAGCAGGCAAGAGGCAGGGCACAGCCTCCAGCAGACAAGTGGATATTCCGGGGTCAGCCCAGAGACCCCCGGGAAGGGAGCGAGATGACTGCACAGGGGCCCACAGAGGGGACTTGGCCCCTGGTGCTTCTGGAGACTCTGCCCCCCTGGGTGAGATTGGAAGTGTGAAAGATGCTGGAGCAGGGAACGGGCTGCGGTCCAACAAACTCATCATGCACATGGGAATCCAGTGCCAAGAGACGTCATCCTGCCATGTGAAGGGGGTTGCTGCTATCCCTGGCATTCATAGGAAGAAACTGAGGCCCGGAGGGGGGAGAAAGGACTTGTCTTGGGCTGCCCAGGTGTCCTGAGTGCTAGCCCCACAGGGCCAGCTGCTGGCTGGCAGGGACTTTCAGGGGTCTGCCCAGTCAGGGTGGGTAGCTCCATGTCTCAGCTCTGGTCTCTGCAGTGAGTGTCAGCTCTTGCTGTGGTCCTGAAGCTCTGCAGCTGCTCTTTGTGGTGGGGGCGGAGATTGCAGCCTGGATGGACCCCAGGGGACCCCATGACCCCCGGGCAGCATTGTCCAAGGGAGCTCTGCTCCTGGGGAAGCTGTATCCCAATGCCCCCTTCTCCTTCCCCTCTTGCCCTCTGAATGGCCACAGGTGGAGGAGTTGCGGCGTCAGGATGCAGAGGAAGGTGTGCACGTCGCCCAGCTCCTGGAGGGCTTCATCAAGCGCAAGCTGGTGAAGCAGACGGTGATGACAGTCGTGTACGGCGTCACCCGGTACGGCAGCCGGCTCCAGATGGAGAAGCAGCTCAAGGATAACGATGGCTTCCCCGAGGTGTGAAACAGCCCCAGCACCACCCCTCTCCCTCCCGCCCTCCATGCCTCCTTCCCCTGGTGCCCAGATGAGGCCCTGGCAGGGGATGGGCAGGGAGGAGCCTGTGCCTGGCACATCTGAGGGGCCACGCAGCAGTCTTCAGACAGACTCAACGGCCTCTGCCCCTCTGTACCCTGCCCTGCACCCCCCCAAGGCCCAGCCAGTTTCTTATGTTAGGTTTGAGCCTGGGCTGCTCTCAAGGGTGTTCACAGGACCCCCCCACAATCCTCACTGGGGGAGCAGGTGACAGCAGTCAGAGCTCAGCCACTGTCTGCACGCAGCAGCTGGATCAGAGCTACAGCCTCTGGCTCCCCCAGCCTGCAGCAATGCCACGGGCCTTGGCTGGCAGGGGGAGAGGGGGTCCTTGGCGGGGTGGGAGACACCTTGCAGCTGGCACACCTGGTCCTGGTGCCATGCCAAGCCGAGCCCCTCAGCCAGCTTCTGCTCTGCCCAGGAGTTCTTGTGGGCAGCGTCACACTACCTGGTCCAGAAGGCGTTCTTCATCCTCCAGCAGATGTTCTCAAGGACACGGGAGATCCAGGTACAGGCCCCTTCTCCTGGGCTTCCCTGGGTGCTGGACTAGTAGGGGACCGGGCTCCTGGCCCAGTGGGGGCATCACCTCATGCTTGCTGCAGCACAGGCAGGGACGGTGGGGACAGGCTGTGCCGCTCTGGGCACGGAGCAAGGGCCAGCTCTGTGGAGGCCAAGCTGACTGGGGTTCTCTCTGCAGGCCTGGCTGACGGACAGCGCACGTCTCATCTCCCAGTCCGGGAGGACGGTGGAGTGGGTGACGCCACTGGGCTTGCCCATTGTGCAGCCCTACCATCAGACCAGGCGCGCCTCAGTGAGTGTTGCTGTGGCTGCCTGGGAGCTGGGTCCCCAACGCAGCACCCGGGGACCTAGATCAGCTCCCTTCTGCCTTGGGTTGGGAGCAGGGAGAGTCCCCGGCCAGTGCCTGCACATGTGGAATCACGTGCTGCATGCACACACGCACATGCATGCAGACATGCTCACGTGCACATGCACACACTAAGACTGTTCAAGCTTCCGTGCTTGGAAACTGGTAGTGTCACACATGCACTTCGCCCAGAGAAGGCCCGGCCTGCATGCGCGTGTGCAGCATCAGGCTGCACGTAGCGTGCATGCACTTGCAGCCCCCTCCCCAGCGGGGGCTGGGAGCGTGCAGGAGAGCCGTGACGGCTCCTCCCCCCGACTCAGTGGGTAATTAACCTTTCAAGAGAGGTGTGCTCAGCACTGCGGGAAAGCAGGAGAAGCAGCTTCTTGAGGCTCGGTGACTCAGCCTGCCCATCCCACGCTCCTCTGCTCCTTCTTCATCTACCTCACAAGGCTCAGGGCTGAGCTGCCACGACATCCCCTGTGCAAGACGGGAGCTTGTCTCGGCCTTGCCCATGACTGTTTGGGGGGCGGGGGCAGGCAGGGATGACTGGGAAGCCATGGGGAGAGGGCCAAGGCTGCCCCAACACTAGCATGGGGGCACCCCAGTGGCTCAGTTCAGGGCCCAATCCCTCTGTGTCCCCTGCCCCACAGCACCTAGGAGCAGAGGGATGGGGACTGAGGCTGACTTGTATCTCCCTGCAGGTGCAGAGCGCAATGCAGGTTGTGACGGTCAAGATGCAATTTGACAACAGCCAGTAAGTACTGGCTGATCCACCCCACAGCCACAGGAGATTCTCTCCAGCTCCCCCATCAGGTGCTTTGGAGGTCCCTGGGGCAGGCACCAAGCAGGATCCTCAGCCAATGCCTGCCTGAGGATTCCCCAGGAATTGGGGGGTGCGAGGGGCCTAGTCCCTTCCTCCAGCAGAGCTGTGGTGCAAACAGCCCTAAGAGGGAGGTGGGGCAGAGCTCCTGGCATCCAGCCCCATGCATTCACTGAGCAGGACAGCTGGATGCAGTCAGAGCCAGAGCAGGCCCATCACCTGGGGACGAGGGGTGAGGGGATGAGAGGGGCAAATCAGGCTCTGGATCCAGTATCTGTTGCCTCTGGCCTGGCCAGTGCTACACTTAGAGCAAGATGTGACCTGCCCCTCCGTGCTTCCTCCTACATCCCCCGGGCTAGGCAGGGTCCAACTACTCCCTATGCTGCTTGTAGGAAACCGAACACGATGAAGCAAAAAAACGCCTTCCCACCCAACTTCATCCACTCACTGGACTCCACGCACATGATGCTCACGGCGCTGCACTGCTGCAGGTAGGCTGGGGGGCAGCTGGCATGCCAGCTGTTTGCCCCCCTGGGATGGGAGGGCTTGGAGGACCTGGACTGTGCTAGGTGCAGCTGGGTCCCCAGCAGGGGAGGGCGAGAGATGAGGTGCAGGCTAATGGGAGCCTGGACCTTTTAGGGTCACTTCTGGGTGACCTTTGGGTGCTGGAATGGGGCCTGGTCCCCACTTTGCCTTCCCTGGACCCTGCCCCAGGGACTGGGAGTCTGTGGCCATGGGGAGCCAGGGATGGAGGACTGGTAGCCCCCCTGGGTGCACCTGCAGCAGGAGGCACTGGCTGAGCTGGCACCAGAGGAGGAAGGACTGTGGGCAGCACGTGACACTGCCACCCTGCTGCCTTCTAGGCAAGGCCTGACCTTCGTCTCAGTACATGACTGCTACTGGACCCACGCGTGCTCTGTGGACATCATGAACCAGGTGACCCACCTGGGGTAGCCATTGCGTGGGGTGTGGCAGGAGCCAGCTGGCTGGGGCTCGGTGGGCATGGGGATCTGGTTCCTTTCCACTCACCTATGCCCCTGCCCTGCTAGATGTGCCGGGAGCAGTTTGTGGAGCTGCACAGCCAGCCCATCCTGCAGGACCTGGCCCAGTTCATGCTGCAGAAGTACTGCACGGTCAACTCGTAAGTTCCTTCATCACCCACCCCACACCGGGGACACTCAAGCAGGCTTGGGTTTTGTCCCCCCATGAGCTGCTAGCGTTCTTCTTGCCATTGCTGTCCAGCTGCAGGGCTGGGGGCGCTCAGCGGTTGGCATGCCAGAGCTGGGGGTGGGGCTCAGTGGTTAGCATGACAGGGCTGGGACCATAGGCACTTGAGTTGGGATGAGTTGCTCAGTCCCCGCACCCCCGCCCCCTCTCTGAAGTGGGGGAAGCAGAGCGGCTGGGCACGTTTGGGAGGTGATGACAGGACCCAGGAAGAACCAGGGGTGGGTTCAGAGCCACAGGAACCTCGAGGAAGATGCAAACCCAAGCCTCTCTGGGGGGAGCTGGTCTTTCTTGGGCCCCTGCTTCCCTACCTCCTCGCTGTGTCCAACTTGCTGCCTGAGGCTGATGGGAGGGTCCTGGCTGGGAGCTGCTGTGGGAGGGAGCAGGCATAAGCTGTGCTCAACACCCCTTCCTGCCCTGGCTTCCTTCAGATCCAGCCCCATGTGCAAGAAGTCCATGATGCTGGAGGAGATACTCTCCAAAATTCCTGAAACAGGTACGGTCATGGAGCTCATGCCCAAGAGCCCAGTGGTGCCTAAGTGTTTTGTACAACCAGTTGGGTTACCAGCTCAATCCTTCACAGCCAGGAGGTCCCTGCCACCTGAGGAGTAAACAGCCCTGGCGGCTGATGGGGCCAAGCAAGGCCTTTCCCTGCACGGTGCCAGCCTGCCCCAGCCCTGGTCTTTGCTTCACGCCCCGTGCTCTCACCAACAAGGAGCGCCAGCCTTGCCAGCGGCATCACCTGTGCTGGGACCGGGATCATGACTTCAAGGCCATGATCCCTTGCCAGCATCTCTTCTGCTTGGCGCCCAGTAGCTATGGAGGCTTCTTAGCAGCCAGTGGGTAGAACCAGCGCTGCACCCCAATGGTGGCTGCCTTTCGGGGGGTAAGGGGGGCAGTGCTGGGCCTGCTGATGGGTAAGGGGGAGGCCTTTCCTTCCCTTGCAGCCCCTGACCTCACCGCTAGCCCTTTTCCAGGAGCAGCAGCAGGGGGGTGCCACAGCCCTGGTGGGTGCCTGGGTAGAGTGGGGGGACCAGCAGGCCCAGAGGAGCTGGGATGCCCCCTTCTTGAGCTTGATGCCTTCTCTTGCCCAACTGACCCCTCTTCCCCCACAGGTGATTTAGACCTGGAGAAGGTGAAGGAATCCACCTACTTCTTCAGCTGACCTGGCGCTGACCAGTGGCTCTGCTCTGGCCCGGTGGCTGCCTGCTTGGACTCTGGACACTGCCGTGCTCGGCTCCGTGGCCTTGGTTGTGGGAGTGCCCACAGCGGGTGCAGCAGGAGGCCCCAGGGCATGGCCTGCCAGACAGCTGGAGCACTGAGCTCCCTCCAGGAGCCGTGGGCTGAGCTGGAGCCCCCTGTGCCCATCTGCCCCCAGTAAGGCTTGACCTTGCCTGAGCGTTCACCTCAAACGTCAAGGGGCCCTGGCAAGAGGTCCACTCTGCTGCTGCTCGCTCGGGGCTCCAGCCTGCTGGCCCCTGCCCTCCCCTGTGTGTCCGGGTGGCATGTGTCCTTGCTGCAAATGTGCTCTCGGTGTCAGTGGTGCCTTCAGCCCCTCCCAGCCTGGGGTCTTGTCAGGCTGGGGAGCAAAGGGAGCAGCACTGGGGATCCCAAAACTGGTTTCAGGGCTTCCAGAAATGGCTTCCAAACAAGGCTGGAAGGGCAGGACTCAGCTGTCTCGAGGGCTGAGAGGTCTCAGTGCCCATTCAACCCTGTGCAGGGGGGAAGGGACACACACAATGGGGGCTTCTCTGCGATTGCTAGCTGCACCCGTGTGATCTACTTTGGCCACAGTGGAGACCCAGGCTGAAGCTTCCCTGCCTTGGTGTCCCTGAGCCCCTTGTGCCATGGCAGGCTTCCTTGGCTCCAAGAGAGAAAGGGGGAAGGGGCCTGCCCCTCTGGGAGCTGGGGTTTTGCTGAATCCCATGATGCTGAGTCCCCTTTTGGGGATGCACAGGCCCCTTTGCTGCAGCGCAGCCTCGGCCTAGGCTCGGGGCACGGTGCTGAGCTGCAGCCAGTGTGTATGATAGCGTAAATAAATGGTTTTTACATCATCTCGTGGTGGTTTTGATGCAGGAGGGCTGGTAGGGCTGAGATCAGCGCTGGGGCTGCCCTGGGGGGGTCAGCCTGGCAGAGGGCACAGCAGGGAAAGGCTGGCTGAGATCTGGGCACAGGGCAGGCAGTGTCCCTAGCACCCAGTGTTTTAGGGATACTGCACGGTCTTTGGCCGCCCTTTCTCTGAGATCTCTGATGTGCTCCCTCAGGCTCCCATCCTGGCTTAACCCGACTCTGATTTCACTGCAGCGATGAGCCCTCCCGCCAAACTACTTCACCAAGATCATGGGGATCTTGTCACGGTCCCTGCACCAGGGCTGGCCTGCTGGGGCTGGACCCAGGAGCGCAGTGGGCTGCCTGGCTGCTCTCCGGGCGGGCACGGGCTCGGCACCGAGCGGCGACTTGTGCGTCACAGGCTGGCAGGCAGGGAGCTGTGCTCGTGACACCCACGCACCACGGTGCTGAGTCACGCTGGGCCGGCCGCCCCCACTCCCCAGCGCGGAGGGAGGTGCGTGCCCACCCCTCCGGCGGTAGCCGTGCCCCTCCCAACCCCTGTGCTGTGTGGGTCTGGTAGTGGGGGGCGACCCAGGGAGAGTGTTCCCCCCCCCCCGGGCACTGATCGTCCACAGGGGGCAGAGGGGGCCCAGCAGGCGTGGAGCTGCCACGGAAGTGGATGAGCCGTGAGGCATAGGAGAGCAGTGGCTGTGGCTCAGTGCTGGACTAGGGCACAAATCCCCATCCCCTGTTCCCCACAGCGCTGTGCTGCCCTGATGCCCAGCGCTTCCAACCTGGCTGGACCCAAGGGGCTGCTCTGCCCTCGTGCAGCGGGGCCCTGCGGTCCTGGCAGTGCCCGAGGAGCTCTGTACCAGGGCTGCCCCTGCCGCTCTGACATGCTGGGGTTGGGCTTTGCAGGGAGCTGTGGTGGGGACGCTCGGCCCAGGCAGCCACCAGCACCCTTGCGCTCTCCCTGGCAGGGCTCCCAGGGCTGGCACACCAGCCCCAACACCCCTGGGCTACATGGAGGCAGGGGTGGGGAAGCTGGGTTTTACCCCCCACAACCCATCCCACACTAGAGGTTTTACCCAGGAGTGCGCATGAAGTTGCCACCATGGTCTGTTAAGGTGTGTGGGTGTGGGGGGTTAGGGATTAGTGTGTGGGGGGGTGCTGTCTAATGGGGGGAGCCAGGCTTCCTGCAGGGGCAGGTGGGCTCTTCCCTTAAACAGCTGCCCAGTGATGGGCATCGGGAAGGGTCAGTGCATGTGTGGACCATGTCCTGGTTCCCCTCCCTGTGCCTCAGTTTCCCCACCTGAGCTGCAGGGCCAATACTGCCCTCCCACCAGCGTCATCAGTGCCATGGGGGGCACCAGACTCCCAGGGGCCCTTCCAGGTTGATTATTGCTGGAGCCATCACAGCATGGGGAAGCCTTCCCCTGCACCCCTTTGGGAGGGGCAGTTGGTGGGTGTGCATGTGCGTACATGTGGCTCATGTTGTGCACACAACAGGGAAGCAGGCACCAGCCATTCACATTTGCAAAGGATGTAAAATGGACCAGCTGAGACAGCCCCCCCCCCCCCCC